CAGCGGGCTCACCCAGGCACCTGCATCCCCGCAGAACCAGGACCCGGCCGTGCTGGCAGCTCCCCAAACAGCCCCGGGGCGCCTCGCAGCCTTCCTCCGCCAAGGGCACCCCCTCCCCGCCGCAGAGCCAGCAGGTCACCCCCAAGCTGCGGGATGCTCAGGGGCGTCATCTACTGCCCCTTCTCCGCGCACACCAGGAATTGGTGCGAACGAGAAACTTTTGAGATGGTGATCTTCCCGAGAATACTCTAATTGATTTTCAACATGCTCATAACTAGAAAGCCATACCCTCACTTAATATTTAACACCAAAGCGACAGTTTGAAACACTACGCTTACAATGCCAAATCCACAGAGGCTGGAAGAACTAGTTTGTTGGGAACGAAGCACAGACAAGAAGAAAGATACCAACAAAAGGAGCTGAAAAGCCCAGGGAAAGGAGAGGAGCAGAGTACGACAAAGATCTTTGCCTGCTGGTGCCGGCAAATGCAGGTGGGACGAGCGGGACAAGGCAGGCAGGGCTGCCGAGGAGAGGTGTAAAGCACTGCAGTTACTGCAGGAACAAAACAGCGTGGATTCGGTGTGTATTTATCAGAAATCGGAATGAGACGGCCCCAGCCAAAAGGGGAGTCCTCTGTCACCGCTGGCCTTGCAGGGCAGCACCACAGCAAAGCAGCCGGCAAGAGCACGCAGGCAAGCTTTGAGCACAGAGCGTGTCACATCAGGCAGCGTCTCCTCTGCAGGCCTCTTGCTACAGCTGGAGTTGGAAAATGAGGAAGTGACTAATCCTCCTGGATTCTCTAGTACACCAGGCACTGAAATGCCTGATCTTGGAAGCAGCTGTATAAGGGAATTTAGCTTTGCCATCCTTTGCAAAGCGAAACGCAAGCCAAACCCCAACTGGTAGGAGGAAGAGTAAGAAAAACCAAGAGAAATTAAATAGGAATGGCTCCAGAAGAAAGCAGAGACAGGGAAGGGAAAGGGGAAACAGAAGAAAGTTGGAAGCAAGCAGTGACAATATTCTGTTGAGTTTGGCAGTGGCAGCTGCATGATTTCTTGACGCTGCTGCTGCAGTCTTCGTGCAGAGGTTTCCAATAGCTGCAGGAATGTCTGCATAAGAGGTGCCGCAAAAGAGCATTTGGGAAAAAACAGCATCCTTACTAGCTCTTTTCGTGCTTGCAAACATCTCTCAGGTCCACGTGAAAAAACTCTTATGGGAATACACTTGTGTTCTTAGTGGCGCACCACGATCACAAGATCCGTTGTGCACAGCCGCAGCACCCAGCGTGAAAAGGGTGACATTGCAGCCGCGTCTCTGCCCAATCGCATATTGACCTGATCCTAATAACACCCATTTCGTTCCTGCAAGGTCTTCAGCAGTCCCCAGGGATTAAATTGTAATAACTGTAAATAAACTAATAAAACACAAACCACAAGATAACTAATGAATACATATTTTAACGGCTATAATAATATTTTCAGTCATAGCTTGACAACCACAGTGACAGAAGGAAGGTCCTGTTCAGGTAACATGCTGTAACCTCCGAGGAGCTGAACAGTCTCAGCTCTGACAGCTGCTGAAGTTGTCTGGCCTGTGAAAGAGCCAAATATCTTTCCAGTATTTTTTCAAAACAATGCACATAATTTAAAGATACATGAAGTGCTTTTTGCTAACATCCTTTACCTGGGACATCCCACCTTGACCAAGGGGAGATGCTGGTGTTGCCATGGAGATGGGGATGGAAGAGTGCTTGTCCAGTGCCACTGTGGTTTTTTCGATTCCTGGAGGTACCACAAAGAGCATGGGAATGTCATGTCCTGGGGAGATAGGGAGGCTGTGGGGAAGAGTGTCTGTGCCAATGACCTGAAGATGAAAAGCAGTGAGCAGACAGTGATTCTGACTGAGGCATCACTTAATCCACTGGTTAACCGAGAAAATATGGCAGAGATTTCCCTCAGCACGTTCATGTACCAGCTCTGTGTGTCTATCCAGGCTGTGCTCACACTCAGGGCTTCAGGTCTCAGCACGGGTTGTGTGATGGACTCTGGTTACGGTGTTACCCACAGTGTACCAATCTTCAAAGGCTACTGCTTGCCCTGTGGTGTTCTCCAGCTTGACCTGTACAGCTGTGATCTTACACAGCACCTAACGCGGATTTGGAAAGAAAGCGGCACTTTATAAGTCACCGCAGCTGAGGAGCTGCTTGTACAATGCATAGAAGAAAAATTTCTGAGCCTCAAGGAAGAGCTGACTAAGAATCCTAGTGAGGTGGGAAAAAACTTACCACCTTCCTGGTGGCCATGAAATTACGGTTCAAAGGTTACATTGTCCTGAAACCCTCTTTCACCCTCCTACTGTTGGCATAGAGTCACCAGGGATTGACAAGCTCTGCTCCAATTCTATCAGGAATCATCATGATGTTGGCCTAAGGACTTATTTCCACTCATTTCTGGTGGTTTCAGCCTCTTCCCTGGAATCAAGCTGAATGCTTAAACGCGTCTGCGTGGTCACAGGTGGTGTTAAGGTGAAAGTCAGTGCTCCTCCTAAAAGGAAATCTTCAGTTTGGACAGAAGGCTCCTCGCTTCCCTTACAGCTATGTGGAAGGTAGAGACCGGGGGAAGTCTGTGTCCATAAGCACGCCTTTTGAAAGTCCAATAAAAATCACGTCTGGCACAGGTACTTCCTTCTTCATCTCTCTTAACAGGCGTAAAAGATTTTTTTAAAGAGGTTCTTCACCAGAACAATGCTGTACAGTATATGTACAACTAAAGTTAGAAAGACCAAGAGCCCTACGCTATTGCTTCGTACTCCATTGTACCTGCAAAACTGCGCAGCCTCGAAACGCCTTGCTTTTCCGTGGAAGTCTTAGGGTCAAAAAGCAAGGAGGAACATGTTCTGAGGAGCATGACGCAGCAGAGGAGAGACAGCCGGTGTCCGAGGCAAGCGCTCCAGGGAGTGGGTACCGCACAGAGGACACGCCTTGCACAAAGAGAGATCATGGAAGACATAAATACCCGAGCTGGCGTGGCCCTGCTTCGGGGGAACGAGGGGGGAAGTTTCTGGGCCCAGCTCCTCACTCAGGGGTCCTCACCGAGTCGGGCAGGGCCTGAACGCGGACCCGGGCCCTAAGTCCAGCCCCGAGGCCCCAAGTCCCGGCC